TTTCCAAACCCCAAAACTCTGAAAATCTATAAAATTGCAATTATTTTCAGATAAACCTTATAGATCACTTAATGCAGTACCTAAATATATGAATCTGACCCAAAAGAAAATGTTATTTCCTAACAACATGTATTAAATATACCATTAAATTTGTAGGCTTTGCTAACAGTAAAATAATGTATGCGGGAAATGTGTGTAATACTGTAATATTTAATTTTTCAAGAGCATAAATATAAAAAGATTAAAAACTCTATACATCGAACACAGTCCTATGCTTGGCCCGTTTGATTAACATACATTTTGTTGAGCTAATCGCACTGGTAATTATTAGTATTTTCAATTAGGTCCTATACTTCTGACGTTTTTGACTTGGTTGGGTAACGAAAATAATCATACTGTCGTTTGAAATTTAATTTGTGTATACGCTATTTTCTACGGACGAGTAGGGATATTTTTCTTGATGAAAACCTTCGATCGAGATCGCCGTGCGGATAGTGCGCCATGCAAAACACATCTGTCACGAGTTTTTATCATTATTTTTCTTATTTCCCATATTGGTTCCGTAACCTTTTATTTTTTGCATATACATATAACAACGCAGTGTGCCGAGTGACAGAAAAAAAAAATAAGAAATAGCAATAAAACACACACATTCACTACTGCTGCAGTACACAGGCGTATGTAATACGTGTGCATATAGCTGCGAACAGGGGCATAATGCGGTGTATAGCTGCTCAACGATGGCGTGCGGGGGTGTGTGTATGTGTGCATAAGCGGACAAGAGAGGGTGAAAAATTACTTTTCACTGTTCAGCAACAGATGTTTCGCATCGGGGGCACACGCGAGCAAAGCGCACCCCTTTGCCGTCGCATTCCGGACCACAGTTGTTTTGGCGGGCGGAAAAAATCCCTTTTGTTATGCCTGTCGGGGTTATTGCGAATTCCTCGACATGTACACTAAGCTTTAATTAAAATGCCTGCCATTCCTGGACCGATCGCCCTTTGCCGCTGTCATCCCGCGTCCGCCGGCCCAATATCGGCAACATCCCGTGGCAGTATACACCCGTTTACTGGGCACCAGCCTTCGGTGGTACATAAAATATACATATACATATTATAGAAAATTAATAATAAACGGTCGGCTGCCCGTCGCCGTCCGCGGGATTTAATCTCCTGTAAAATACGCGCCTGTGTGTATTTTGGACATAACAGTTTCCGAAACGGGGTGCACCGAGATAAATCGAAATGGCCCATTAAAACCGTAACGACGCTTCCGAAGAACAAAGGACATCCGCATTCGATAACAATTGTTTGTATTCACTACGAAATACCCAAATGCAAAATATAAATTCTGTAAAAAAATATATCAGCAGCTATTGCCAGTTGTTTTTACACTGCAGTTATTTTTATGTTTAAAAGGCCCGCCGTTGCCCTTGTCGTCAACATAACATTAAATATGCTATTTGTCATTCGGTAAAAGTTGGCCAACCAATAAATTATCACGGTGAGTGTTAATAGTATTCTGCCAAAACGGCAAATACTATTGTTTTCGGCCGACAATCGGAATTCCTTTTTTGTTTTATGAAACAACATTTTTGCGTGCTGCGGTTTTCCTATTATTTTTCCAGCAAAAAAAAAAAATGATAACATAAAATACAATCATAAATTAAAATAAAATAAAAAAAACAATTCATGCGACAACAAATTTTTGTAAAAGACATTTTATAATGAAATTCCATAGTGTAATGCGTTTTTAAATCCGAAAAAAACTAGCCATTACCGTTTAAAAATGTAATTTTTAAATGTCGCCGTTTATGGTCGGCAGCGCCGTTTAGCAGGATAATAGTAATAATAATACACGACCCGTTTTATTAAAGCTAAATCCCTGTTTTTAAAGCCCTGCATAAATATACGTACAATTTTAGCATCGTTTTCGGGCTTACAACAATGCGTTTCATAAATGTATATAAAAAAAAAAGTATTTTGAGATCTTCTGTTTGTTTTCTTTTGATAATATTACAACTAATAAAAAAATATTGTTAGCATAGGCATAACTTAAGGAAGGGGAAGCCATGCCCCGTCATTTTAAAATTGTAGGTAGTTAAAAAATGAAAAACAAAATCAACATTTTACAAAATTGTAATTACTATGTACACAAAATCAAGGACAAAGTTAAAAAAATATGTTTTTATTCTGTTACATCATATTACACTTTTTTGATTCATAACTTTTTTGGACAATTTTTTTGTTTTTTATTAATTTATCTTCAAAATTTAATATTTTACTAAAAATTACTGTAGTACTCTAAGTGTCAAGAGCTTAAAATCTGACAAAAATTTGGTAATGAAGACTTGTTTTTACTAGGAGCTTTTAGAACTTAAACACATCAAGACATTACTTGATTTCACATTAAAGACGGCCCACACGGAATATTTTGTATCTAAAAATGTTCAAAATTAAAAATTATTCTCTACTACTTTAAATTGACTCATTCCAAAGGAACGTACAAAGAACATATATTTTCATTATGTTCTGATGACATTTAATTAACACAATAATTTATTATAAGCAAATAATAACAGTATTGTAATTTCAAAAACGAAAATGCAAACATATTGAGCAAGTCCTGTACCAATGATTTGGCAGTGTTTTTTTTTATTTTTTGTTTTTGCTCGTAGTCGACCTTGCCAGACGTGTGGACGATTTAAGTGCTTAATTTTGCGTGCGGCCGGACTTGGGGGGAACTTAGGCCGTACAAAACAATCGGCTTGTGATTTATAACACACACCGAAGTGACGGAGAGGACAACGGATGCAGCGGCCGAGGGAGATGACGGTCGAACGAGGAGGGTGTGCGCGTGTCGCAGAAGTGGCATTTACGGGCGGTAGTTACCATAAAGAGCCCATTGGTTGCAGCTGACGTTACAAACAGAGCCCGGTCATTAATAAAATCTCGCCACCCCCGTCAGGACTAATTAATTCTGCCTTTTGGCTCAGGTGGCTAGTGGAGAGAGGGCGGGATGGGTTGACTGCGGGCTTATTGTTTACGGATTATGGTTAAACTTAGGATGAGATTGACGGGTGTCCATTATTGCGGAAGATTTTCCAACGCTTTTGTTTTTGGAACGTTCAATGGCAATAATAATTATAATTGTTTCGTACCAAAACTCCACGAGCTGTCGGCGCTTCAGAACTTTTATTTTTGAGTTTCCCCGGCGATGAATAATGGACGTTCGATGATATTGCTCCTTTTCAGTTTCAAGATCTCACAACTCTCGAGTCTCGAGGCTAATTATTAACGTTTCATAAGGATAATTGAAATACACGTTAATTTTAAAGTTCAAACGATAAGGGAGAATTTACGTCTATTAGTTTAACCCATTTTATTTGGGAGAAAAAACTAGACTTTGTGTGCGTATAATAGCTTCAATCCCCTGTCGAATAGTATAGTAATCTATTTACTCATTTTTTCGGAAAATATACCTACATTATAATAATTAACAATAAAATGATACTATTTTGCAGATACCGTTGACTGTTGGGTTTCCTTAATAAAAACGGTTTAAATACAATTTTTTTTAGAAAATTGTGAATTCTATAGCCCCACATTATATCAACTTTATGCCTTAAATAGATCACCTGGTAAAAGGTTTCACAATTAGCAGTATATGGCATTAGGTGTATAAGAAAAGTTAGGATACGAAATATCTTAAGGTGTTTTCACTTGCTAGTCAAAAATGTTCGTCGAGTTAGATCTGAATTTTATGCAAATATAAACGGCGTACGTCACGCCCATTAGCATTAGCATTTACCCGTTTAATATCCTAAAATGCCCTCGATTCACATTCTATATAACTTATAAGCATATTATAGTGCATGCGTGTGTTTAATAACCATTATAGAACCTTTTATCCTTAACTAACCTACTGTATACTATGGCGGCTGCTTTTCATTTATATTATTCGAAATATATAGTATACATATAAAAAGCGATAAACAAACAAAGTGTGTATGGTTTAACGCGTTAGCTTGTTCAATTCAAAATTTCAAACTGCTTTAGCCCCAACTTATTTATAAAAATTATCTAAAAGGTTTCCATCAACATCATTCGTCAGAACTCATGTAAATATAATTATTTCACTTACTAATACTTACTGATAATATTTAACTTGCTATTCAAATGTATACAGACGACTTATAGTTTATACTCATTCGGTTTTTACCATTATTGCGAATATTTTACAAATAACGAAACCCTATAAAAATATTCAAAGTTATAAAACTGTTCTTTGGAGCTAATAGTTCAGGGGCACACGTGTATCTTAAATAGAAATCATCATCATATTATTGATAGAAGGAAAAGTATTATAGACGTATTTGTCCGTAATGAGAATTAAATCCATACGCTCTCAGTGTACATTATATGTTTACTTATATGTGTACATTATATTATATATAAAGATAAAGTAGAATAGAATTAGGGTTGTGGGTGAGCTGTATACAGAGGGGTAGAGAAAAACTTGTCACACGTATCCCATAACAAATGGAGGATGAAAGAGTCTTATTTCACGGCTGGCCTCACATTTTAATATCCGGCGTGGTACATCGTTGATTTTTGCTCCATTCAATACCGGGTAAAATATGACATGGATTATTGGATTTAGAACCCGCAAGTCCTATCTTATTCGTGCGCCCCAAACTCTATTGTTATTTTTATTATCAACGACAGCTCGACGCGATCCGCACCCGGTCTGAGCGCAGCAGCCCTCGTGCGGTTCTTGATCCCAATAGCAAATTGCAACATAAAACAAAAGTCAAATTACCGGCAAGTTAGTTCCGTGTGTAACGTAGATGTAAAGGATCAATTTCAATCTAAAACGAAATGAACTACGCCGGAATCGCTCTTTCAGATGTTAAATTGAGTATTCTACAAGGATTAGGTTGCCTACGAAAAATTTACTTTATCGACATCCGTTTGATTCGTTGTCATTGTGTTTTGCAGATTTGCTGCCGCACAATCTGTCAGGACAAGCTCCAACCAAAGAGTTCCTGTTGAAGATCGTCGATATACTAATGGACTACATCAAGGACACCAACGACCGGGACGAGAAAGTGTTGCACTTTAAACATCCTGAAGAAATGTTCAAACTCTTGAACCTGGAATTGCCCGACAAAGGAGTGCCGTTGCAAGATCTCATCGATGCTTGCGGAACTACCCTGAAGCATCAGGTCAAAACGGGTAAGCGTTACTGCTGTATATTATAAGCTTTTGAACCATTTAACAAATTTGACAAAGAGACAGTTTTCGCCGTGTTCCGTCCGTCACGATGAGTCAATGTCAATAATCTGCTAGCTTAACATACCACTCTATAAACAGTGCATACGTTTTATCGACGTTTTAAAAACGCTTCTTTTCATGTTCAAATGATGAGTGATTGAGAACCTATGCCACTGGCGTGTATATAACGGCGTATTAGTGTATGCGGGACAAGTGGTTCACTACACATCATGTTGTCACTGTTGTGCATGACAGCTGCCGTTATATCGCACGAATGAGCAATCCGCTTCGAAACACCCTTGTAACTCTTGTTCACAACTCCTGAAACGAATGTGTTGCCAAATTGATAATAATATATTTGCCAAATGTAGATAGGTATATTTTGGCTGGTGAGAGGTCTGAGTAGTGTGGCAAACACCTTCCCCATCCCCTTCCAACCACTGTGATGGAAAAATAACAATTGCGGATCACGAAGGCTTTAATATAGCAAATAAAACACACTTCTCGCCCGCATAAAAATTCTGATTTATTTTCCTATTGTAAATTTATTAATTTAGTAATGCTAATAAGGAGTTAGTCGTATGCTAACTAAGATGACTACATTGTTTTTCGCTGACTAGAACGGTATTTTTGATTGAAATTTGGTTTAATTTGTGTATATATTGTGATCGTTTTAACGTGAAGAAATTCTATTCAATTTAATGTGTTCAAAGTTAAGTGTTTCCCCCTGTCAGCCCCAGAAAAGTTGAGGCACTGATGAGTACAAGACCAGTACTTCGGAAATGGCTGAAAATCTATTTATAATATTATTATTATTTATATTTAAAAAGATTGCTATTAATATAAAAAAACATTTGCAACCTTGAGTCGTCCGACAAACTAAATTGATGAGAACCTTAAGGAGCCGAATAGTATAAGACACAAGACCGAAGATGTTAACATAAGTCTCAAAAGCCAGAAAATTATTTCTGAAACTGCAATATTATTTATTATTATTGTTCCTGTCAGGACCTTTTTTTACAAAATATCGAACTACACAATTTCTATATAGTTCATGCAAACTTGTACATATTTTTTTTTAATCCGAATTCAGATTTTCATCAGAGTACATCAATTAACTTTAAATCCCCTCGAAAGTTGTAAGCTATTTATAAAAAAAAAAAACCGATTTTGAAAAAAAACTACAAATTTTACTAAAGTTTTGAGATGAGTTCTGAATTCAGCAAAGAAAATTGAACAAAAACTATTTTAAATACATTTTACATTATATTTAAACGTAAAACCCAGTAAAAATATTACAGAACCGTATTTTTTATTACTATGTTGGAGACGATTTAAAAAATAATTAGACGCGCTATAGATAGTGTAAAAGCCAGAATCGGATTAGAACAAATCCAAACCAAATTTATACTTACTTTAGTTTTTTGTTTAAAAAAACCAACTTTTGTCGTAGGTACGTTTTTAATAAAGAGTTCAGTAATTTAGAACTTCAGATCTTAAAGCACTGTAGGTGTAGTGCAGTTGTGAATTATTGAGTCATGTACGGATATAAATATAACACTACACTCCATGTATCGTTACGATCACTCTGACAGGTATAGCGTTGAACCAAATGTTTTATTTTTTTTAAACCATTTTTAATTTTTTCACTTAAAAAAACTCTGTATTATTCTACTCCGGTGGCCTTGGTGGCGGTGGTGTTAGCTGTTGTGTAACAAAAATATTGAAATATTATTGTTAACAATCAGATAATACGGGTCGCGATGCTATTTACGTGTGGGTAGGGGAGATTGGGATGCAAAAATAATAATAATAACAACAACTAAAACGCAATAAGGGTAAATTACTATTGTCGAGTCCGACCCTAAGCTAAAACCCGAATGTGTGGTTCGCAATCGCCGGACGGCTAAACGTATGCACCGCGTGTCGTTTATTGTGGATCTACTCGCGAGTGGGGCGATTTTCAATAGCCCAAGAGATTGCAGCGCCAGGCCGAGGGGTTCATCAATGGAATCCGTCGTGTTCTTTTTTTTTTCATTACAACATAATCGCACACAATAGTGAATCGGATTACTTTCCCGACTATACACCCCTTGCTTTCATTTCACCCCCCCCCCCCAACTCTCTCAGGTTCGTCTTTAACAATGCTAAATTGTATAATTACGGAAACCCGTCGACAAGCCGTGTGTACGTACACGAGTTTTAATTTTTCATTCTTGACATAACATAAGTATAAGTTTTTTTGATCTGTGTACCCGCCGGTCATTTTGAGATTATTCACATTTTTCGTTGGTCGTGTCGTGGATAAAATTTGCTTGGTGCTATGTTATGAAATATTTAATGAAACCCTTCACCGCAAAAATACATCAGCGCTCATGACAGACTGAGACCGAGCTTTATGGCTTATGCTGTTTCTGGTTTCGTTTTGAATTTGTTTTAAATGTTCCATTATCGTATAAACTCCGGGATGTTTAGAAATGTTAACTGTTAACAAATGTTAAGATGTGTACCAGTGGCGCAACCAAGGGGGGGTCCTCGTGTCTAGACCCCCCCACCTTGAGTTTTTTTATAGTGAAAAATTGGCAAAGGTAATCTTAGTTATTGTCTAATTATATATTACAGTAAACAATATTTATTCATTTTGGCAATATAATAATTTTGTTTTGGCCTGCTTTGCGGCAGATAACAAATCGTTATCACATACTGTCATTTTCATATAATACACATAGACCTTATACCTAAACACCGGACATTGGACCCCCCCCCCCCCCAGGGACATTTCTGGTTGCGCTAGTGATGTGTACTAACGCTATTGGGTACCTGAAATCTACCGTCAGTTATCTAAATTATCTTCATGTATAACACTTGTTTATTAGAATAAATTATATATTATATACTTTAATGTTTTTTCCCGAATAAATTTCGTTGAAAAAAATAACCTCTTCCCGTTTTTTTCGCAATCTACATAAAACTTAATTATATAATTTAAATTATTCTATTGTACTGTTTTTTACCAAATCCAAGCGTTCACTGCACGACAGCCTATTCCACACTTGACCTGTTTTTGCTGGTGACTTACGTAATATACTCCATGCCACGACCAGAACCACAGTATTCATAAAATATTATACACGCGCAAACGCTTTTTGCGAATTGCTATGGGCTCACTTTACAAGGGGAAACGGTGTGATGTTTTCCTTTTGGACCGCGACTTGGAAATAAACAAACCCGGTGCGTGTAAGTCGTATGCAAATGTATTCTAGCCCGAGATTTAACCCTATTCATCATATTATTTTTACCGTACAAACCATGCGAACCGTCCGTTTTTATTCAGATAACCCGTCGAAAGTAAATATTTCGCTACCGCTATTGTTGAGAATATGGAAAATTAAATAACTACCAATATAATCTTTCATGTTCGGCGCACGGCTCTTTGGGACCTACTCCGACAAAACTCGACCCGACTCCGGTTCGTGATAGGAATTATTAATCGAATTATTATTACTCGAGCTATTTGATAAAATATAATACACTCCGCACGGTCTGTCGTTCGGTAAGCTAAGGGTTTACGATGGGCGCGTGGTTAAACGGCCGGATGAAACTGTTAAACAAAATACTAATTCGGTGTATATAGGGTAGTAAAAATAAAAAACGAGAGAGAGAGAAATACAAAGAGATAACAAAAAAAACGATTTTATATATAAAAAACGGGAGTCGGACCGGCTGGTGCAAATACAAACTTCGATTGTTACACGTAAAAGTGGACGTGCAGTGATATATCTGCGGGGTGAAGGGATGCAATGTGCCATATGATTGTACGCATTTGACCCGCATTGCAAGCACGTCGGCGCATTGTGCGTATACGGCGAGAGACGCCCACGGTGCGGCGCGTCCCCTCGCCAGTACCGGAAAAACACAACTTACGCCTTTAGGGGAAGGTAGGTCGATCCGCCCGAAATGCGGGGCATTAGCCAACTGGCTCGGAAAAATACAAGGGATTTCCCAGCCCCTGCAACAGACGGGTCCCATCAAAAACCGCTCCCGTTCCCGCCGCAACGCGTTTTCCGACCCTTATAATATAAGTCTTCCACACCCGCCGTACCTACAGATACGGGCTATGTGTGTGTGTGTACTGTATACACACTCGACCGGATTTCCCAAAACGCTGTAGTGTTTTAAGAAGACGTTAAAGAACGTGTACACCTAATCTACACGCGGTGCGTTCGGTGGGAGTTGGGGAATAGAGAGAGAGAGACGAGGAGCACAACGTACTTAAAGGCTTATCGTCGAGCTGTCGATCATAAGGCTAAGCCGAAACAACGTAATCATTTCCCAGCGAATAACGATCTCATGTCTAAATACGCGGCAATGATGTCATGAAAAACGATAAAAGAAAATCGCCAGAGACAAAAAACGTCATAGAGTGAACTAGACATTAAATCTAAAAATGAAAAAAACTATTGAGGGGAAGTCACGTGATCAACAGTTCCCTTATTGGTTCTGTATAAAAACAAATATATTGAATCTAAAAAAGGAATTTAAATAATAGTGATAAAATCTTAAAAGTATAATTATTTATCTATGTAGAAAATAGAAATGTGGTACATGTTAGGAAACGTTGATCTGAACTAAAATTTTAATCCGTTAAATAAATCAACTAAGTTATTTAAGTAATAGTAAATAAACTAAAACATGAAATTTTCGTTTTTTAATTGTTTGACATTTTTTATATATATTAAAAACTTAGATGGTAAAATTAAAAGATGAAACATGATTTAGCTTTAATTTCACAGGTAGTAAAAAAAAACATATTAGGGTAAACAAAATGATGTACATTTATATAATATTTATACTAGCCCACACGACAAAAATATACTTTTTTCAAAAAATTTCACAATATTTGTTTAGTACTATAAAGTATAAACGTATTTTTAAATCATATAATGGCAAAAAAATCAAAT